TGTCCCTTTTATATTATATTATATTAATATATATATATATATATATACACACATAATTTACTTTAAAAAATGTGTGTGGACAGTGCCATTATTGTAATTGCTTGGTCAGATCAGTTTAAAAAATTATACATTTGGTTCCAACATAAAGGAAGATGTAAACTAAAAAAAAGTATTGCAATCAATTTACATGTTAAATTAACTGCCACTGAACAAAAACTGGATTTGGTTCTTTTCATCAACCTTTGAATTTTGAACTAATTTTCAAGCATCTTTGTGAGAATCTGTGACATACTGTAACAACAGTTGATACTGTAGTTAAATAACTTGGTCTTCAGTTTGGAAAAACAAAAGAGAATGTGTGTGCAAGTAATGCTTTCTTATTACGTCTGTGGGAAAAGTCTATTGCATAATTTAAAGACTGAAATGTGAAATTCATATTAGTTATGCAGTATGTCACACATCCAGTCCACAGAGCTTGCATTTACAGTTGTATTTAAAGGAACAGTTCCCCTAAAAATTTAAATTCTGCATTCATTTAAACCTTTTTTTTATCTGCAGAACACAAAAGAAAATATTCTGCACTAAATCCCATTGACTGTCACTGTATGGACCAAAAAATAAATAAAAATCGAAATATCTTCTTTTGTGTTCTGGCATAATGATGACAAATTCCTTTAGGGTAATTTACTGCTGGAAATATGGGGTTTTAATAAAAACTGTCTGTCTATGCAGGAAAATACATTTTTTACATTTGTGATACATGACTCAAGAAAACAGGGGGAAAAAAGTGCTGTGGCAAAAAAGGGAAAACTTCGACACCCATAATGCACTGGGTTCAATCCGACTATCTACGATTAGGAATACAAAAATCTGAAGTTTTCTCAAAAGCCCTGGAACTGTCAAAAGTCCGCTGGATGACGCGTTTTTGCATGTTTAAGATGGCATGTTTAAGATGGCATTATTATTGCAATCAAACTAAAGATGAGTGATTGAACAAAAGAGACTACGGTTGCATAAATATTATTCAACAAGTTGAATAATGCTTATTTGCTTATACTTTGAGAAAAAAAAAAAGCACTAAAAAGCTGAACCACAGTGATTCAATGCATATGAAGAGTGAGGCTGAGGTTATACTGACTTGAGTTTGTGCAGATCATCCATGGCCCGGGCCAGAGCTTCCTCAGCTCTCTGAGCTCTGTCTTCAGCCTGTCTGGCTCTCTGAAGCAGAAGAGACACCTGATCACCAGCTGCAGGGCTCAACGTCACAGCTGTGGCCTCGCTCAACTCTTCAACATCTGACAAAATGTAAGCCAGTAGCACAAAAGTGTTTCAAACATGTAAGAAAGATTACCACATTCAAAAGTTAGTGCGTTTTTTAAATAAACCTATTCCGCAATGATGCATTAGTTTAAGATGGCATAAGCAACACTGTGTTATTATTGCAATCAAACTAAAGATGAGTGATTGAACAAAAGAGACTACGGTTGCATAAATATTATTCAACAAGTTGAATAATGCTTATTTGCTTATACTTTGAGAAAAAAAAAAAGCACTAAAAAGCTGAACCACAGTGATTCAATGCATATGAAGAGTGAGGCTGAGGTTATACTGACTTGAGTTTGTGCAGATCATCCATGGCCCGGGCCAGAGCTTCCTCAGCTCTCTGAGCTCTGTCTTCAGCCTGTCTGGCTCTCTGAAGCAGAAGAGACACCTGATCACCAGCTGCAGGGCTCAACGTCACAGCTGTGGCCTCGCTCAACTCTTCAACATCTGACAAAATGTAAGCCAGTAGCACAAAAGTGTTTCAAACATGTAAGAAAGATTACCACATTCAAAAGTTAGTGCGTTTTTTAAATAAACCTATTCCGCAATGATGCATTAAATTGATCAAAAGTGACAGTAAAACATTTACAATGTTAGAAAAGATTTCGATTTCAAATACATTTTTCTATTTTTCAAATAACCCTGAAAAAAAAGCAATCACTGTTTACACACAGAATTTCAGCAGCACAATATTGACCACAATAAGAAAAAACAGCCAGCATATTAGAATTATTTCTGAAGGATCATGTGACTATGGATCATGTAAAATAGAAAACAGCAGGAATTTGTCCTTATAAATGAGACAAAAAACAATGATTCTCATACCTATCTGCAATAATGGGTCATCTGGTAAAGCTGGTTTCATATATTCATCACTGTCCCATGGCAATGGACCATTTGAAGTCAGTAGCAAACTCTCTGTAGAGACCTTCTACAAATGTATACAGATTAGTCAGGCATCAAGTCATCTTATCGCAAATATACACTTGAACTGTGTGTGTTAAAAGGATACTTACTGTAGTTCTAATGTAGTTTATCATCTTTATGTAGCCATAGTCATCAAGCCCTAAAGAGAAATGAAACCAGATTTGTATTTCGAGACATCAGGTATCACTCAACACACTGAGCAGTCCTTGTTTGGAAAACTTACTGTGTTTTTGGACAAGATCTGGAATATCCACACCATGGTCTGCCTTACAGTGTTGTACCGTTTCAGACACAGAGGTGAGAGTCCTGTTTAAAGTGAGACACATATACTTGAGTGCAAAACAAACCCTTTGTTCCTCAAATTCTGAGGTTTTTCCACTTTTTTCAGAACACAGATTTGGAAAAAAAAGAAGTACAGATACACCTAGACTCCTGATCTGCTCATGTACAAATTAAGGCTTTTAGTTTTGCGAGTCATAGTTTCCTGTTCAGTTCTGACACACAAAATCAAAGCCTTGCTACTTTTAAATAAATAATCGAAGTTCAGATCAGGGTTATTTACTGTAAACTAAAAGTATAAAATAGTTTAAGTTTAAAACAATTAAAAGATTTCTTGTTAATGGAAATAAAACTGAAATAAAATAAAAATACTTAAGTAAATATTGAATATAATAATATATATAATTCAATATAATATTGAAACTATTGCAATGCTCTCTTGGCAGGTCTTCCAGCCACTTTTATCAAACCTCTACAATTAATCCAAAATGCCGCTGCAAGATTAATCTTTAATGAACCGAAAAGAACGCATGTCACACCTCTGTTCATCAATTTGCACTGGCTACCAGTAGCTGCTCGCATTAAATTCAAGGCATTAACGTTTGCCTACAAAACCACCACTGGCTCTGCTCCCATTTACCTAAATTCATTACTTCAGAGTTATGTGCCCTCTAGAAGCTTGCGTTCTGCAAGTGAACGGCGTATTATTGTGCCATCTCAAAGAGGCACAAAATCACTTTCATGGACTTTTTCATGAACTGTTCCCTCCTGGTGGAATGACCTGCCCAACCGCGTGCGTGTGACGTCACATGGGGCGGGGCAACACGACACTCCACCTGAGTCCGTTTCGTCTGATGCCTTTTTGTCTGAGTCCGTTTCGTCTGATGCCTAATTGTATGAGACCTGACACCTGACGTCGTTTTTCCTGAGACCTGAAGCTTTTCAGTCTGAGGCGCGATGCCGTTTTGTCCAATGACTGAAGCCTTTTAGTCTGAGGCATGACGCCTTTTCATTTAATGACTGAGGTCTGAGGATGTCCTAAAATGTACACCGTACTGGTGAGAACTATTGACAAAAATAACAGTTATACCATTAATTGTGCCATTTGAAAATGCCTAACTGCAGTAAGATTAAAATACACTCTCCAACTCGCTAGAATAACGCAGTTTAAATCGCATCATAGGTTAAAGCAAATATGTGCATCACATTTAATACATTCACGTGTACCTGCGTACGCTGCCATGTTGTAGTCTCTTGTCTTGAGCTCGCGTTTTTCTCATCCGGGTCATTCTTATTTTAGTGTACTTCGCTTTTGTCGCCATGTGAGGTCGCTGTTTCGTTATTAATCGCAGTAACCGTGAGCCTTATGCCGTTAATAAAATACCTCAGAGTTTATTTTTGTTTCCTTTGTGTATATTGTATTTGTGCATCTTAACAAAACAATAAAAGTCGTTTATGTAATTCTAGAATAACGCACTAGGCCTACCTACTATAGTCAAGACTTTGGACTCACTATATTATTGTAAGGCTTACAGTAATACTATATATATTGTATGGCTAGTGTGTGAATTAGTATTGTCACTTTTCTGTGTGAAATTTATTTACAAAGCTAAATTTTAATTGAATTTTTTAAAGGATAAGTTAGTTAAGAAAGAAAGCAAGAGTCAAGCACACATGTAAAATCTCCCGATGCATGGTTAAAAGCATTACAGAATCATAAAGTTTGAACATAATATATAGCAGCTGCCAAGTTCAAAAATTAATATTCTGAATGCAGTTGAACTGTATAGCTGCTGAACAGCTTCTGTGCGTTATAATGTGTCGTAAGTTTATTACAGAAAATAAATGCTTTTGTCTTTCAGTTGTGACTAAAGAGGTGACTGTTTTAATCCACTTTTCAGATATTACACACAAAATAATATTACTATATACACAATAGTTGTTGTCAACTATGAATATACTTTATTTTTCCTGAGCAATATAAAATTACATAACAAAAAAGCACCAGAACCCAAAAATAACGCATACATTAGAGTCAAGTATAAATTAGTGTCAAGCAGTACTATATTTTGAATATGTTTTTAAAATACTTAATATGATAATTGCTTCCAAGTAAACTGCAGTATAATTTTGGATTATCCTGCTGAAGAATCACACCACGCCAGAATTGCACTTAAGTAAAAAAATGTGAAAATAAAAGTCTTATTTTTTGGCTCCAATTTTTCCAAAATTGCATATGGCCTTGTTTTCAAGAATTTCCGCTTTCTTTTCTCCATCTTTAAGCGTGTTGACAACCATAGCTCTGGACACTGCTGTGATAGAAATAGACATTGTAGGGAAAACAGAGGAGAATGCACCAAGAAATTGCTGGGCCACCCATTCAGCTGGCCTGCTCTCCTCTCTGTCCACTAAGAGCACCCTAGAAAAAAAAAAAAAAACAATCACATGAAATGATGATTTAGAAATAACTGAAAAAGCAGACATGCACAACACAAAGATGTATGACCTCAGACTATACACAGAGTAAGAAATATAAGAAATCACAACAGATTTTATTCCTTGATTCAGTATTTTTAGAACAAAAAAAGCAGCAGGACTCACGCTGGTCGATAGACGGAGAAACGCTCAAACCCAAGGTCTTCAATTTCTGCTTCAACCTGTCCCTGTAAATACACCAGTGTTGGATTGGACAAAGATTGGCTTGAATGACATGAAAATACAAGCTTCTTTGCTCTGTAAATCAAATAAGCCATATCATTTTAACAGGGTTTTATAATACCTTCGTTTTCAGGTAGAGAAAGCTGCTGGTTTTGTCTGCACCTTTGGAGGATTGGAGGTGAAAATGTGAGCAGCCTCCTGCTTTGGCAAGTTCTGCAGACTTGAGTACGTAGTCATGATCCACCCGCACAAACCCTTCCTGTAAGCCCATACAAAATGTACAGTATGTACAAAAGGTTATGTTTTTTTGTATGCAATTAACAAACTTTACCACAGAAAATTAACATGAAAATGTAAACTTGCAAAGGGTTCCCCACAAATGCATCGTTTACTAAAAACAGAAAGTTATTTTCTTTTAAAACTGTTTTGTTCATCAGCTGCTAAAGTGTCCTTTACTTGCATAGCCAATAGAGTTTTAGTTTGCATTTATTTTATGTCTCGCCATGAAAAACATTTTTATTATATGAATATTGATCTTAATTGATCTAAATGACTTGTAATTAAGTTTTTATATTGCAACAAAGCAATGGACAATCAAACGTTTTGGCAACAAGCCTTCTTCAGTGAATCATATGGTATGATTCACTGAAGAAGGCTTGTCATTAAGAAGATACAACGAGTGCGGATCTTTTATCTGAAAGTAATGTTACTGATCGATCTATGCACCCAAAACTAAAGTTGAGCGCAGTGATTTTTATTTTTTTCGTGAGTGTTATACAAATATTGAGGGGGAAAAAAAACATTTTCTTAATATTTCTAAAGTTGAAA